TATGGGACACTATTTGCAGTGGCTGTCTTCTCTACCTTCATTTTCACTCGTGGCTTATCAAGATGGTCCTTGTCCCAAGCTCAGGGACTGGATTTCCTGGGTGTAGTTTTGAGACTTGGTTCTAACCAGTTAGGTTACAAATGTGACTAATTCATATAATTCCTCTGAGTCTGACTTTCCTGTGTGTAAAATGGAGAAATCGTACCTACCTCATAGGGTACGTGTAGGAATTAAGAGTGAATGTGTAAACATCACCTTTCCCAACGAACGATACTGTTGTCGTTGTTAGTACTGTAATTATGACAGCGAGCTAAACATGGGGCAGAGGAAACAGTGGCAGGTGGTAGAAATTCATTTTCTGGTTGTGCTCGCACGGGCCAATTATTCCTCAGAGGCAGTGAGACGTGTCCTGCCCTGCAGAAATGGCTGCGTCCCTGACGTCTGCGGTGCAGGACGCAGGATGGGAGCCTCGTATCCCTGTCTGGATGCCAGGATGGCACACGGGCGGTGCCTCGGCTCCTAGGTAGTGTGCCCAGAGCTAGAAAAGCAGGCTGGAGCCCAGCACCGAGGAACGCTTTGGACTGCAGAGCTGCTCAGTGCTCACAGGCCGCTTCATGTCACAGTGCCCACAGCCAACGTACAGTCTCTAACCAAGCTCAGAACGACCAAACGCAGAACAGAGCGCTGTGTGGCTGAGGAGCAAGCCCTGTCCAGAGGTGTTACTAGTAACCTCGGAGGACACGCACTGGGAGGAACAAACCGTCAGTCCCTCTAGTGCTCTCTCTGTCCTTTGCGACCCCAGCACTTGAGGCAGGAGCGCTGGCAGCACCTTGGAGACAAATCCTCCTTAGAATCCTCTTCCTGGAGAAAGGATGCTTCCTAACACAGCCCCTTCTAGCCACGCTTACCACACTGTGGTCCACTTGCCCACAGTGACCACAGTGTGACCCTGGTCCTGGAATGTCCGGCACAATAGGGGTGGCAGGAGGAGCACTCTGCCTCTGTCAGCGGCTGATGGGTTACAAGGTGCCCTACAAACACATTGTCAGCAGAATCAGCTGTTTGCAGCGTTGTCCCTCTGCGGCTTTACAATCCAGCACCAGCATGCAGCCAGGGTTGTCATGGCTTTGTCCCCTTATGCATGCTTAATTGACAATTAAGTTGGGGCTTTGAACCAGCCTGGCTGCGGCTGATGGGCCTTCATCTTTCCAGGGAGTGTCATGGGGGCACCCTTTGTTTGCTCTTCTTGGGGGCCTGCAGTTACTGTAGTAGGCTGCAGGCTGCCATTTATCTTCAGCCTGGAAGGCCTTTATCTGCCCCCCCACACACACCCCCATTCCAGCTCTCGCCAGCAGGAGCTGTCCCTGGTCATAGGCTCCATGACAGCCCATTCTGAGGCCATTGAGCAGGCCCGGAGTGATGGCCTCTATCTTCATTCTGGAGCTGAAGTTAGAGAAAGGCCCCCAAAAGGTCAGAGGGCAGGGCCGCAGCCAGGAGAAGGACTGGTTGGAGACTGGTGTTCGTATTGATTGGCTCAAGGAGGAGGAAGCTGGCGTGGAATGGGAGCTGCGCCAACCTTGGCCCGTGCCATGCTATCTGCTGCGTGATCGGTGGTGGCCTTGCTCGCTATGCCCTTTGCTCCAGTCTGTAACACACCTGCCATCACCTGGAGGGGCACAGGGAGGGGCACGAGGGCCTCGTCAGCCTTCACTCTCCCACACAGAATGTCCTTGCTCCCGTATCACCTTTGGAGAAGGAAGTGAGCACTCATTCTCCTAGAAAGCACTATCTCCCTCACTGTCCTGGAGAGAAGAGGCCTTTCTGGGATCACATCCAGGTGTCCCGAACCACCGCCTCTTTCCTGAAGATGAGACATTTATTTCTGTGTCTGCTACTGCTCCCTCCCTTTGATCTCTGCTTCTCCCTCTCCAGCCCCAGTGGACTTGACTTTACTGACATTAAATTGGGGCTTGAAAAACAGAGAATCTTGGGGCCAGCAGGTGGCATAGTGGTTAAGGTGCTGGACTCTCATGTGGTCTAACACAGTTTGAGTCCCAGACCCAGAGACTTGAAACTCACACTAGGTACCTGTGCATGCGTTCCCTAAATCCCAAGAGGAAAATGGAGGAGAAGGGATTGCAGCCTGGCCATCTCCCCTGGGTGTGTGTGTGTGTGTGTGTGATTTCTCACTTTCTGTCTCTCTGGCTAGTGCAAAAAATCTCAAAAAACAAGACAAAATCTTACTGTTGCCTCCCCCACTTCCATCTCACAGGTCTCCCAAGTGGCCTGCAGGAATCAAATTGCAGGTGGTAGACAAGCCAACTGTGGGCCAGGGTACCTATGTGATGTTGCTGTTTTTGCCGACACTGAAATCTGTAGGTCCAGAGGAAATCTCAAAAGTTCCCAGTGGCAAGTTTGT